ATGCACATGCAGTGGTTTAGCGATTCGATTCAAAATGGCCGACTGGCAGCCATCTTGTTTTTTGAAAATGTTGTATTTTGGACATGCTTTGTCAGTTGTCATTCAAACTTGGTACATGGATTATACATGTTAGGATACATTTATTTCGCAATTGGATCAAAGATGGTCGACTGGCAGGCATCTTGTTTTTGTTTTTTTATGCCGTATCTTGGACGTGCTCTGTCAGTTTTCATTCAAATTTGGCACATACATGTACTTTATACATGTTAGGATGCATGTCCATAACAATTTGTTTCAAAATCTGGTCAAGAATGGCCGATTGACAGCCATCTGACTTTTTGGCCTTACTACTATATTTCCACAATTTAGGTACCATTTTCATTCATATTTGACACATACATCATACATATCAGTGTGTTTCATAATCAGATCAAAGATGGCCGAATAACGACTGTTTTTATTTTTGGCCATATTACTACTACACGGAATACGTGTTTTTATGTAATTAAACAATCTGTTGTATACGCCACTTGGAACTCAAGTTTCAAGGACACGCTTGCGACAACCCCTCCGCTTTAATATGATGAGCACAAAGAGAACTTTCAAAAATTTCAATTTTCAATGACTTGTTGATTAATTGTAGACAACACAAACATCTTTAAATTTCTCAAAACTAATATTATTAACCTCAGTGGTACACTGCCAACAAACTGACTATCAAAACTAAATAAATGATCAAGAAAACTTCCTCAAAACAGATTATAGTGCATGGCCATCTTAGCATGCTTAATATCTCGATAGAGGGCATTTTGTTACTTAAAGTGTCAGTATTGACCCTGGAAACTTCTCTAATTACCCACAATTAACTTAATACTGTACTTTTTTGTATCAATACTTAGGGAAATAGCCAATCCTATTATATTTTTCAACTACAAAAAAATTATTTTTCAACCTGCAGCTTTATGCACACTTCCGCCACCTTAACATTCTCAATATTCACAAACTACATACTTCTTTACTTAAATGTCGTTAACCTTGAACATGACAGTTTCACCCACACTCTGGGCCATTACTTTAACCTTGAACCTGACAGTTTCACCCACACTCTGGGCCATTACTTTAACCTTGAACATGACAGTTTCACCCAAACTCTGGGCCATTACTTTAACCTTGAACATGACAGTTTCACCCACACTCTGGGCCATTACTTTAACCTTGAACATGACAGTTTCACCCACACTCTGGGCCATTACTTTAACCTTGAACATGACAGTTTCACCCAGAAACGGCCAATAGAGTAGCCAAGGTGTTAGAAATGGATTAAGTACTGGCAAATCAAATTCTGCATGGATTTGTTTTTTGGTTCATTTAGTGTACTTTTTTAGCTTCGCTGTTGACTTTGTCGAGCGGAGCTTATCATATGAGTGATTGTCCGTCATCCGTCGTCGTACGTGTCAATGTTTTACTATTTCGACTTCTTCTTAAAAACTACAAGCCTGAATGCTTTGATATTTGGTGAATATATACCTTGGGTAGACCTCTCTTAGATTTGTTCATTTCGTGATGATATCTTCAATTCTCTAATTTTGGTGAATATTTTTGTCATTTTTTGTAAAAAGTGATATTTTTGACTTCTTGTTGAAAACTGTAAGTCTGACTGCTTTAATATTACATAAATAGGTACTACATGTGGACCTCTCTCAGATTTGTTCATTTTGTGATGATATCTTCAATTCAATTTTAATAATAATTTTTCTCTTTTTTGGTAAAAAGTAATATTTTTGCCTCACAAGTCTGATTGCTTTGATACTATACATATAGGTACATGTACCTCAGGTAGACCTCTCTCAGATTTGTTCATTTCTTGATGATATCTTCAATTATCTAACTTTAATGAATATTTTCAGTTCTTTAATTGAAATGTGCATTGCTAACAGCGGAGCTATCTCAGTCGACAGGCTGCTTATTTAATAATACATGTAATAACGTAAATAATCCATCAAGTTTTATTAGCTCCGCTGTCGACTTTGTCGAGCGGAGCTTATCATATGAGTGATTGTCCGTCGTCGTCCGTCGTCGTCCGTGTCAATGTTTTACTTTTTCGACTTCTTCTTGAAAACTACAAGGCCTGAATGCTTTGATACTTGGTGTATATGTACCTTGGGTAGACCTCTCTCAGATTTGTTCATTTCATGATGATATCTTCAATTCTCTAATTTTGGTGAATATTTTTGTCATTTTTGGTAAAAAGTGATATTTTCGACTTCTTGTTGAAAACCACAACTCCAATTGCTTTGATATTACATATATAGGTACTACATGTGGACCTCTCTCAGATTTGTTCATTTTGTAATGATATCTTTAATTTTCTAATTTTGGTGAATATTTTTGTCATTTTTGGTAAAAAGTGATATTTTTGACTTCTTGTTAAAAACCTCAAGTCCAATTGCTTTGATATAATATACATATAGGTACTACATGTGGACCTCTCTCAGATTTGTTCATTTTCTAATGATATCTTCTGTTCTTTAATTGCCATGTGCATTGCTAACAGCGGAGCTATCTCAGCCGACAGGCTGCTTGTTTAAAAAATGCAACATATCCTGTATTCAAACCAACAATTTTCAGATTGACAATCTGTGTATATGTATGGTCACTTTACTGAACAAATTAAGCAGGTAGTATGAGTGGTTGAAAGCAACATTATTATATGTACATATTCAGGTTTTACATTGGCTCATTGTATCATTTTTTGCCCGAATTGATGTTTCATATTGTAGGTATTTGATGGCAGTATTGACAACTGGTTACCTTTATATGTATATCAAGTACTACCAAACAGCAAACATATACTATTGACTGATAGACTGATGTTTTCCATCATTAGGCGTGAGCCTGAGGGACAGGTGAGTTTACAACTCTGGTTATCATGTCAGTGGGAATTAAGTGTGACTCTGATAGACAGGTAAGTTTATAACTCTGGTTATCATGTCAGTGGGAATTAAGTGTGACTCTGATAGACAGGTAAGTTTATAACTCTGGTTATCATGTCAGTGGGAGTTAAGTGTGACTCTGATAGACAGGTGAGTTCACAACTCTGGTTATCATGTCAGTGGGAGTTAAGTGTGACTCTGATAGACAGGTGAGTTTACAACT